CCCCCTCTGCAGACTGAGGGGGACACAGCCCCCTGCGGAACCCAGGAGAACACAGCTCCAGGGGTGCAGGAGCGAACACCAGGGACGAGTGGGGGGGGGTGAGGGACCACACCCTCCTCTGCAGACTGAGGGGGACACAGCCCCCTGCGGAACCCAGGAGAACACAGCTCCAGGGGTGCAGGAGCGAACACCAGGGACGAGTAGGGGGGGTGAGGGACCACACCCCCCTCTGCAGACTGAGGACACAGCCCCCTGCGGAACCCAGGAGAACACAGCTCCAGGGGTGCAGGAGCGAACGCCAGGGACGAGTGGGGGGGGGTGAGGGACCACACCCCCCTCTGCAGACTGAGGGGGACACAGCCACCTGCGGAACCCAGGTCTCATTGTTGCTGCTGTTTGAAGAGCTATTTATCTATTTATTTATTTGAAAGGTACAGGGACACAGAAGGACAGACAGAAAAGATCTTCCATCCCCCAGTTCACTCCTGACATGGCCAGAACAGCCAGGACTGGGCCAGGCCAAAGCCAGGTGCCAGGAACTCCATCCTGGTCTCCCATGTGCGTGCAGGGGCCCAATCATTTGGGCCTCATCTGCCGCCTTCCAGGTGCACCAGCAGGGAGCTGGACCGGAAGCCGGAGGAGCCAGGCCTCTCACAGGGACGCTGGAGTGGGATACGGGCACGGAAGCAGTGCTTCACTGGCTGTATCACGACGCGACCTCTTTGACATCTCACCAGCTGGCGGGTTCTGCCTCGTTCGTCTTTTTTTTTTTTTTTTTTTTTTTTTTTTTTTTTTTTTTTGACAGGCAGAGTGGACGGTGAGAGAGAGAGACAGAGAGAAAGGTCTTCCTTTGCCGTTGGTTCACCTTCCAATGGCCGCTGCGGCTGGCGCACCGCACTGATCCAATGGCAGGAGCCGGGTGCTTCCTCCTGGTCTCCCATGGGGTGCAGGGCCCAACCACTTGGCCCATCCTCCACTGCACTCCCTGGCCACAGCAGAGAGCTGGCCTGGAAGAGGGGCAACCGGGACAGAATCCGGCGCCCCGACCGGGACTAGAACCCGGTGTGCCGGCACCGCAAGGCAGAGGATTAGCCTGGTGAGCCGCGGCGCCAGCCTCGTTCGTCATTCTACTATGGAATGATCCCGTAGAATTCTCAAACAAGTACTCAGAAGATGGGTATTCAAAAATATTTCTTTTGGAGAGAGCTCAAGTGCCTATTCATAGGATAGTCCATTCAATAAATATAAGGATTCTTCAAAAAGTTCCCAGGAAAATGAAATTAAGACAGTTTATTTGGGCACAAAGAATTGTAACTGCATGTACTCGCACTATAAGCCACTAAAGTAGCACCGTGGCTCCGTCTCCACGTGCCGCCTGTGAACAGTGACAGCCAGCATCTCGCCAGCCTTCCACACACCAGCCACTGTCTACGAGGAAACCGTCTGCATGACCCGGCACGTCTGTGACCCTGTCTGGGGCACTGCTGTGGCGGAGGCGTGGATCTGAACACCTGCCGTCCTCGGGAGGCCCACGTGGCGGAGGCGTGGATCTGAACACCTGCCGTCCCCGGGAGGCCCACGTGGCGGAGGCGTGGATCTGAACGCCTGCCGTCCCCGGGAGGCCCACGTGGCAGAGGCGTGGATCTGAACGCCTGCCGACCCCGGGAGGCCTACGTGGCGGAGGCGTGGATCTGAACGCCTGCCGACCCCGGGAGGCCCACGTGGCGGAGGCGTGGATCTGAACGCCTGCCGTCCCCGGGAGGCCCACGTGGCAGAGGCGTGGATCTGAACGCCTGCCGTCCCCGGGAGGCCCACGTGGCGAAGGCGTGGATCTGAACGCCTGCCGATCCCAGGAGGCCCACGTGGTGGAGGTCTGGGCCCCACAGTCTTACATCATTGACCTTCTCTGGCAGAAACTCAATCCAGTGACGATTCTGAAGGAGGCTGCTTGGGAAGTGCCCGGACCAGACCGGGTCACTAGGGTGAGCCCCACGACGAGTTCCTGGTGCTGCCCAAGAGGCCACGTGATGCAAACAGATGGGCCCCTCTCACCACGGATGCCAGAGGCCAGACCAGAAGCCACCAGGCCTCGAGCTGTAAGCCACACAAAGCTTTCATCTTCTTCAAGTTAGCTTCTCTCGGGTAATTTTGTTGGAGTCACAAAACGCTGACTGATACAATCACACATAAATGCATACGACACGTGACAAATACTGTGTGTGAGTGTGTGTCTACACATTCACAATCACGCGTGCCCAGAACACGGGGGAAGAACACGAGAGGAACGGTCTGTGTGACTACTAGGGAAGAATGGGACCGGGAAACTTGGGGAAATAAGGCCTTTTAATCTTTACACTTTTCTGAATCATCTGGACTTTTATCTTGCACAGGCATGGCCTCTGCTTTTACTCTATGTTTTAAATTTTTATGGCTCCCTCCTCAAGTGCCCACAACAGCCCCCGAAGTCAGGAGCCAGGAACACAATCAGGGTCTCCCACAGGGGTGGCGGAAACCCACCCACCTGAGCCACCAGCACCGCTGGCCGTGACGTGTGTGAGCAGGAAGCTGGAGCCAGGAACGCAACCCAGGCACCCGGGCGGGGACACAGGGTCTAACCACTGGGCCAACACCCCTGCCCCACGACTCCTGCTACCTTGGAAGCGTTAACACGGAGCTTCTGCCTAGATTACAGTCTGCTTAATTTTCTCCTTTTAAAAATGTTTTTCATTTAATAAGTGTCACTTAGGACAGAGAAGCAAAGAGAAAACTTCCCTATTTCTCTCTGTGCCCCTATAGCATGAGGACTTGTAACATGAACATACACCCTGCATGATTCTGAAAATCTTTTCAACCTAGTGAACCAAAACCAAGCCCCAGAGCAGTAGCCGCCCGCTCCCCTCCCACGAGGCTGCGGAGACAGCAGCTGCCAGTTCTCTCCCTCCCAGTACCAAGCCAGTCGACAGGTACTCTTTCTTTAAAGACTAGGTTCAGCGAGGAAGAGGAGAGATCAGACTTCTCAACGTCGCTGCTCCGGTCAGGACTGAGATGTGCCCATCCCATGCCCACACGGGTGACCGGGCCGTGGCCACTGCCACCGGCTGGGTGTGGCCGGCACTCCTCAGAGGCTGTGCCCTGCGCAAGGATCACACACTCATCCCCACGCGGGAATTCCCGGTCAGCTGGCCGCTCGCGACAATGACACAAAGTATAGAAACACGAGAGGCCCCGGGTGGCAAGCAGCCACGGAGCCCACGCCCACGGCATGGACCCCTAACTCCACCACCCTCCTCCACGACCTGGCGGATCCCATCTGTCTCCCCTCCCAGGCGCAGCCCAGGCAGGTGCTCAGCGCAGGCGGCCGCCGCTTACCTGTCCAGCAGCAGGTCCAGCACCTCCTTGGCGGAGGCAAAGCCCCTGTAGGTCGACAGGAAGATGCTGATGTAGGTGAAGTCATTGTCCCCAAAGGCCGTCAGCAGGTTCTCCACGAGCTTCTCCAGCGTGCCAGCCTTGATGGTCCTGATCTTACAGGTCTCGTACTGACTGACCGTGTGTCCTGGAGGCAGCTGGTCCCCTTCAACCTGCGCGACAAGGGACCGATTACCACCAGGAGCAGCAGCCCCTCACCCAGGAGGGAAGACTGAGACGGCTGGAGCCAAAACCGTCAAGCGTCCGGCTCAGGTTTAGTGCAGGGCAGCGCGGGGCGGGCAGGACGGTGTGTGGGCCCCATCCTTTCTGGAGGCGGGACCAGGGTATCCGAGAGGTCACCAAGCTGCGGGTGGAGCTCTCCAGGACGGAGCTGACAAGACTCACCGACCCCTGCCTGTGCCTGCCGAGCTCAGACGCGCTCTCGAAGGCAGCTACCATGCACGCGTCAGCTCATGCTGGCCCCGGGCTGACCCGGCAGGGAGCAGCAGAATGGAAGGGCAGGTGGGTGCTCGGCCTCGCCTTCTAGAAGCCCGCAGTGCACCGACCGGCTGCAGCCCGACGTGACACAACACAACGCTGGCACGTTAACGGTGACACCTAGGGACGGACTGGTGGCGACATCTGAGCACTTAAGCGGCAGGGAAGAGAATCCAAGGGAAGAGAAATACGGGAGCACCTCACTCTGCAACGAATCTGTGCTCGACGGTGACGCACACGCACTTCCCAAAGCTGAGCCCGCCCTTCACAGGCTGCCAAGAGGGGTCTGGAACAACCTTTCCTAAGTCAGCGCACGTCCAGGTGTGAACCATCACCCAGCAGCCTCTCTGTATCGCTGGCTGAACTGCTTCATGTTGAAGTGACAGGAGATGAAAAATTGAAGAGGAGGTGAGAGAGAGAACGGACGGCTGGCGGCGGGGACGGTGCTCACCAGCCACGTGCGTGCTGTCGGAGGTCAGGCTGCGGGACCAAGCCCCCCAGGGAGCCGCTCTCAGCAAGACCCCAGTCGAAATGGGAGAGGGGCCTTGTGCTGCCAGGCCTGGTGCTCACCGGATTCCAGCCAGGACCCAGCCCACGCGGTAGACAGCTTCATTTCTCTACCACCGTTTGACAGCTTCCTAGAGCTCCGTCGGCTCAGGCCTCGTCACCCTGAGCAGCTCCAGAGCCGCCCGGCAGCGCCCCTGGGCCTCGGGAGCCGGCAGCAGCAAGCGAGCCTCGAAACAACCACTGTGCTGTGGCCGGGCCGAGGTCACCGACACTGCTTTGCCGCACAACCTGAGATTTTTTTTAAAATTTATTTGGCAGGCAGAGTTGGGAGAGAGGGAAGAGGGAGAAAGACAGAGACAGAGACAGACAGACACACACACACACACACACACACACAGAGAGAGAGAGAGAGAGAGAGAGAGAGAGAGACTGACTTCCATCTGCTGGTTCACTCTCCAAATGGCCACAAACAACCAGGGCTGGGTCAGGCCAAAGCCAGGAGCCAGGAGCTTCTTCTGGGTCTCCCATGCGGGTGCAGGGGCCCAAGCACTGGGGCCCTCTTCCAGCGCTTTCCCCGGCCATCAGCAGGGAGCGGAACTAGAAGAGGAGCAGCCGCGACTTGAACCAGCACCAGGACTTAAACCATACAGGGTGCTGGCATCGCAGGCAGAGGCTTGATCTCCTGTGGCACAGTGCCAGCCCCGAAGCCTGCTGCGCTGACACAGGCTGTAAATCCCCAAGAGGGGCAGTGGGCTGTGCACTCTCAGAATGAACCCACGGTGGGAAATGTCGGCCGAGTGAATTCCTGTCCTTTCAACTAAATTCATAAACTTCATTTAATATTAGACTTTATAAAAGATAACATTCATTTTCATCTTTAAACATTTATATTCCTCTGATTTATTTCTTAGTACAGTAGTGAAATATTCTGTTTTTATTGTCATGTCACAGGGGCTGGAGGACGCGGTCACCAGCCTGCATGAAGTAGAAAGCGACAGCTGAGAAACCAGGGGCCGGCACTGTGGCGCCGTGGGTAAGGCCACCGCCTGCAGTGCCGGAATCCCACATGGGCGCTGGTTCGAGTCCCGGCTGCTCCACTTCCAATCCAGCTCTCTGCTAATGCCGCTGGGAAAGCAGCAGAAGAGGACCCAAGTGCTTGGGCCCCTGCCACAAACGTGGGAGACCAGAAGGAAGCTTTTGGCTCCTGGCTTAGACCCAACCCAGCCTCGGCCATTGAGGCCATGTGGGAGTGAACCAGCTGATGGAAGATCGCTCGCTAACGCTTCCAAATACATAAATCTTTAAACACACACACTCCAGGTCTGACATCAGCAACAACAGGAGCCCCCGAGCCCCAGCTGTGAAACAAGCTCCCCCCTCTGTCCCCTACCGCACATTCTCTGGACCAAGGATTCTGACTTACCTAAAACCCAAGCTCCACCTTAAACTTGACCTTTCACACTAAAAGTAACAAACTTAAAATAACTAATTCTTCACTGGGTATGATGTGCCCAGATAAGCGTGGGTGTCAGAGGAGCTGCTGGCGTGGGTCCCTCGCCCCGGGAGCAGGTGTGGGGGCGCTGGGCTCTCCGTGGGGTCAGCTTCCGCACAACCCTGCAGTCCCCATGGCTCTGAGAGCATCGTGGTGCGCACAGCTGACTCCCTCACCCCTGCCGGCCTGGGTGCCTGCGTGTGTGCATCTGTGTTCGAGGAGGAGCCGCGGGCAGCACAGCACGGGCAGCCACGGCTCCCACTCCCCACAGACACAGACAAGGTGTGTGCAGCGGTCAGAGCACGGGCTGCCTGAGGCCATTTCCTGACAACCTGCAGAACACCCCAAGAGCCAGGCCTCCTTACTGGGGAAGCGGAACACCAGGTCTCCAAGCCAAGTTCTAATTTACCAACGTCTGCATGTAGCACGTTCTTGTGAAGCAAAACCTTACATTATCTGCTTACCTCTGGGGTTATTCTACAATGAAATCGCACAGTGAAGACACACACACACGCACACCCACACATGTACACACCCCACAGACACACCCCACAGACACACACACCCACACACCCATACACCCACACATGCACACACCCCCACAGACACATATCCATGCACACCCACACACCCCCACGCACACCCCGTACACATGCACACACACCCCCACACAGACACACATGCACACATACCCCCACATACCCACACATCCTCACAGACACACACCCACACACACACCCCGTACACACACACACACATCCCCCACACACGCACACACGCGCACACACACACGCACACACACCCACAGACACACATCCATGTACACCCACACACACCCACGCACACACGCACACACACCCCACACACACACACGCACACACACCCCCACACCCCCACACATCCACACACACACACCCCGCACACACGCACACACACACCCCACACACCCCCACGCACACACATGCACATACGCACACATGTACACACCCCCACACACCCACGCACACACAAATACAAACATGCACACACGCACACACATATGCACACCCTACACAGATACACACACGCACACACCCATGCAGATACACGCACATATGCACACCCATGCACACACACAGAAACATGCACACACGCAGACACATATGCACACACAAGCACATACCCCCACACACTCATGCACATCCACACACACCCACGCACACACATATACAAACATGCACCCACACACACACATGCACACATGCGTACACCCACACACACACCCATGCACAGAAACACACACAGATACACACATGCACACACACACCCATGCACACAGATACACACACATACATGCACACACGCACAGCCACACACACATGCACACAGATACACACACCCACACACCCTCACACACACGTGCACACACAGATATACACCCACACACAGAGACGCACACCCATGCACAAACCCACACACCCACGCGTGCACACACACACACACACGTGCACAAACATGCACCCATGCACACCCACAACCCTCTCTCTGGTGCATGCTAGTGCTTTGTGTCCCCAGCATAGACCCCAGGGCCTGTCCCTGTTGTCCTCGGTGACTCTGGACTGAAGCCCTGGCAGACCACTCAGTGGGGACTGGGTGCCCGAGAGCAGGACAGGAGGCCAGGCCACCCCCCTCCACCCCCCAACGTCGCACGCTCAGTGAGGCCACGAGGCGGGCGCCGCGGCTGGCCGTGACAGTCTGGCTGCTCTGACGCCAGTGGGGTAGATGTGTAGGATCTGGGACCTACTGAAAAAACTCTTCATTATTTACCTGAATTTCAGATTTAACTCTGTGTCCTATGCTTTTGAGAAATGGGGGTGGAGTGGAAAGGGGGTGAGGGAGGGAGGGAGGGAGAGAGAAACACACTCCTACCCCCGCCCCCGTTCACTCCCCAAATGTCTGCGACAGCCCAGGCTGGACCAGGCCAAAGCCAGGAGCTGGGAGCTCAGTGCAGGGGTCCTCTGCGGGCGGCAGCACCTGCTCCTTCCAAGGCCTGCGCTGGCGGAGGAGGAAGCCAGGAGTGAGAGGCAGGTGTCACGGCGTCGCCCAGGACGCCCAGCCGGTGACACCTCCAGGCCAGACGCCCTCTTCCTCTGTCTGGCAACACCACGCCGGCTGCGTGTCTCAGCACCGTCTGCTTCTTCACCCACACACTACCTAGACAGAACCAGAGCCAGACCCCGTGCTCGTGTGAGACACCACAGGTGGGCAGCACGCAGTTCCAACAGCAGCTTCCACAAAGAACCCACAGGGTCACAGCCCCCACCCCTAACTCCAGCGGGAGAACAGGAGGGAACACGCAACAGGTGAGCTCCAAGTCTGGGGTGGCCCTCGGGCCGGGGCAATGCCGCAGCCACCCTCACGCCACAGCCCAGGAGGAGCGGGCGCCACGCGGAAACGAGCCTGCTCAGAAACCCCGGCCTAACGGTGGCCGGGCACGTGGGGAAGCTGCCAGGGCGCCTGCTCTGACCCCGGGTCTCCTCCCGAGAGGGCAGGGCAGTGTTTCCAGATCGCAGGGCTGGCTCTGGAGGAGGGGTTCTCCGACCACAGCCTGCTCTGGGGAACAGAGGGAGAGGGAGAGGAGGAGGACAGGCGAAGGCCGGCAAGATCCTGCTGCTTCCCTTCCGCCCGCAGTACTCA